TGGAAACTTGGGTCAGGTAGAGTGACAGTCCTTCAAGATAGGTTGTTTGCTAAAGTTGAGGCAAGAATGTCCACAGAAATCTGACATGTGATTGGAAATGTGGTAGCCTCACTTTTAATGAACGATTGATCTTTGTTCAAAAAGAAGAATGGTTTTATGGATGATCAATTTTTACAGTGGGAGCCTGTGCTCCTACTTTGACTATGACTGTTTTCTGGAGGGTTTCCTTGTTGAGAGTGTGACCAAAAGTTATAAGTTAGTACCTTTCTTATTGAAAATAAAGAATATGCATTATCTCTATAGGACTTGTTATTTGCTTATTCTTCTAAAAACTTCTGAGTCTTCTTGAGTATTAATGAGAAGGTCTTATTTATTTGGTAAAACAATTTACTGATAACTTTCTTTTTAAAAAATTTTTCTTTAATAGTGTCTGTTATCATATATGTACTATTAAACTGTTAATTCATTTTAGAGTTTTTTACCATAAGCATGTTTAACATTGAATCAAAAGTCAAGGGTTTTCATACAGTCTTATTGAACAAACTGTCATGTGGTGTTTAAGTTCACAGTACTTTACCAAAAGTTTTAAATCAATATTCTTATTATTTCAGCCTCCCTAACCCTTATTTGATAGCACATGGCCCTGTTTACAGAACCCTGATTGTTGAATGGGTTATGCATTGGGCTGCTAGCTGTAAAGTCAGCAGTTCAAACCCATCAGCTCATGGGGAGATACATGAGACTATCTGTTCCCATGAAAGATTTAGAGCCTTTAAAACCCACACGGGTAGTTCTACTCTGTCTTATAAGTTCAATTCAATTCAATGCTAGTGCGTTTGGAGAATGTTTTGGTCTTGTTTGCATTTAATTCCTTTCTGGTGACTGTAGGGATTTTATTTCCAACTGTTCATATTACAGAGCTGGTCTATGTCTCTTGTTGAATTTTTGTGCTCTGCAATCTAAATGTTCTGTAGTAGAAATGTAAATTGAAAGAGGCATTGAAATGTCACCAACAAATCAAACCAATTTTGTACAATTCCTTTTTTTAATTGTGAAGATGGCTAATCAGAATTAAATGACGATATCAGTAGATAGAAGAGATAAAATCTTTAAGTCATTACAATGAGGG